TAAGACAGCAAGGTACTTTCGATCTCGCCAGTACAAATAGTAAATCTTTTCTCATCGTGGTTCCATACTTGTCCATTGTCAAGCACGGCCATAATGATTCGTATGCACCTGCACCCACGTTCACGCTTTCGTGTATTAAACCGTCGCAACTATAGGTGAACATCAACAGTTGGCCTACGCAGCTGACCAAGTGAAACACAAAAATGAAACGTTTCCCATTGCTTGTATCTATCTGGAAAAAATAGTGCAAGTGTACGTAACATCCGCGGGTCGATACGTTCATCTTATCGTCTCTGACTAACAAGGAAGCTTTAATTTTTTCGGTTTGTGAAGCAGTGAAAAGTACGTAGTAAAAGTACCTTAAAAGTAAAATATTTTCATATTGAGGAATATAGTGTGGAATATAGAAAAATATTTTAATTTCTAGGAAAATATTAGAACTAACAGCATAGTCTTCTAGGTACAGGAAATTAACAAATGTAGAAAACAGATGAAATTTGTACATTTACATTTAATTCTACCTCTCTTGATACCTACTAAAAATAATATGAACTCTGAATAATAATCTTTATCATATAAAATTTCACACTATATATACAATTATTTAATATCAAGGTTTCCTTGTTAGTGTCACGTTTTCATCGTCAGTTTCTCAAATAAATAGGCAAATAGAAATTAACGTTGATCTACAGAAAAATGTCAAATACTTATCGACACAGTGTAACAGTAAAGAAGTTGTTGTTATCGTATTTGATTTTATTAACTTTAATTGACGTATACAAACCAGAAGTACTTGACACCCATCGAGGCAAATTAACAAGCTGAAAATAAGCATTTGCCCTAATACAACTAAATTGTATGCTTCTTCAAGATTCTCGCAGAACTTAATAAGAGCTTGGTGTTGTTGAACGTAACCCTTGAACGTAACATAACATTTCTCTGTGGAAGATGAGATACGCCCCTTCTGATCGTGTTCTTCCTCACTCGTATTCTCTATATTCGTTAGTCTGTGCCGTAGTATACGGAACTGAGTAGTCGTGTGAATGTTCATCATGAACAGAAAATTATCGAAACAAAAGTAACATAAGCCGAGTTGATACACTGCTAACACCTGGTTCAATATAAAATGTAGAATTTAATTATTTTCTTATTTAAAATTCACTATGGGTTTGTGAAAAGCTTGTTGCAGTTAATTTTCAAGTTAACGTGTTTTTAAAAATTTGTAGTCTTATCTGTTTAATAAGATGAGTATCTTCAATGATACAAGACTTACGAGTAACAGGTAAAGTATAATACCTCTATAATAAAAGCTATCTCATAATATGGCGTTAAAGACATTGGGATGTTAAACCACATGGTAAAAGGAAGTATCCTGTCTGATTCGTTTTTTCCAATGTTAACTGAAATCAAACGTCATTTTGTATTAATATCAATGTTTTAAATTTGTAATAAGTGTATTTTATACTTCATAATTCCTATTTCACTTTGCCATTTCTATTTTTATTTTCTACTTTGTATTTCTCATTTCCCATTTCCCATTTCCCATTTTCTACTTCATATTAGATCTACAATTTCGAATTTCTAATTTTAATTAGACCACATACCTATTAAAGGGGCTCCAAGGTAGCAAACTATCGTCAAATGTGTGAACAGAGTGAAAAGAATAACGCAGATCGCGCAGGAACGTTTGCATGCTTGAATGATTGATTTCTCGTACGGGTCGCAATTTGTTTGTAAAGCCAAAAACTTTCGTTGCAAATATATAACTAATTTAAAGAATTCCTTCTTCTGAGCAAGCATGATGAACATTTTCATTACACACATCATCAGAGTCAGAAAATTTGTCAACGCGTATAGAAGATCCTGCAAAAATCGAAATACCACTACAGAAACTACAATTCTCAATTAGGGATGGTACACAATTTTCGGAGTGCTACCATTTTAATTAAATATAGAATGATCTAGATAAAAATAGAGCTTTATTCTGGAAGAAATAAAATATAAAACGAACATTTCGATTATATATTGTTATCTACATTAACTTGTGACATTAGAACTACTTTTTTCACTGTGTTTACTGATTAATTTCACTCACTGAATCTTTCCAAAATTTATTGTTGAAATTCTTATTTAAGTGTTTATGTCTGTAATTTCACCAAACTGTTTCCTTCTTCATTGTATAGAATCAGTAACATCATCCACTCACTAACGTACCAAAAAAGAAGTGAATCAATTAGACTGTTTCTCAGTCAAAATTAAACAAATTGGATAACTAAACCTCCATCGAGAATATAGTTTTTCTCATACATGGTCAATAATACGGTCCTGTTACAAACAGGCTCAGTTGGATTTTGAACATTGCCTATAGTTATTTTATAATTGTTATCGGAAAAGTCGAAAAGTCAATTCAGAATATACAATAAAACTTGGAGAATTATTAAAATTAGCCTTAACACTTACACTGAGATCACTTCTCACGTGATACATATCTATCAGTATCACATAGACAGCAAATAGGATCAAAGAAATAGTGTAACCCAACGTAATATTCATTCGCCGTTGTTCATTACGATCTGAAGATATCCAAAAGCCGGAAACTTTCATGAAGAAGGCTGTCAACGCGAATGAAACGTCATCAGTCTCGTTTGTAATCATCCTGAATTTCGAATAACTAGACAACTGTTAGCAACATTGATCTCGTACACGAGCATGGATTATTTCAACATGTTAGCAATGATTCGACTCATCCCTTGGTCTCTTTGACCCTCTAACATCTCCTATTCACCAACCTTGTACTTAGTATTTGCGGTTATTACTACTTCTAACGAGAAGCTGGAAGAGAAAGAAAGTACAAATTATAACGTAAATTATGCGTGCGCTAGTGTATTGTAATTAACGTTCCCTGATCGAGAAAGCCATCCGTAAGATTCATGAGTTATGCATCATTTCCGTGAGAGTGCTTCTTATCCCTCCCTGGGTCGCAGTAATAGCTGCGCCGTCAAGAGAATGGCGAATGCGAAACACAGAATGGAGTACGTGAATCATGATAGTAGCTTGTCTAGCGACCGAGCATGTTACGATAAGTGAATGGATTCGATTACGACGTAGTTCGAATGTATTGTGGACTGGAAATCAATCGTGAGTACGAAGATTTAAGAGATCGATCTTGAACAGTGCCTTTTTCGATGTTAAGTGTGTACTTTCTCACGGTGCCTGTAGAATGGTTCTGGCGTTAGCGGGCAATGTTTCTGTATACCGCAAATATACGCAAAAGAGATTTAATGTTGCATGATATTTTAAGAAAAATATAAGGTACAATGAATTTGAATCTTTTATATGGTTTGATATGGAAAAGATATTTCTTTAAATAATATTAAGTTCGTACAAACTGTGCTTAAAAGGACTATTTTGTGATGTGATTAAATAAATTCGTTTAATTCGAATTACAGTTGAAATGCATATATGTAAATGATTTCTGATTTTCTTCTGCTTACTGTTTATGTAACACTTACAATAGAGAATTAAAAGTTTACTTAATGTATTAAATTTTAATTCCTTTCGTTGATACAATAGCATTACGTACATTGTTCTAATAAATATTGAAATAAATATTCATTCTGTAAAGCAACAGCATTATAAAATTACTTTGCAGAAAGAGAAGGAACTGTATTTATACTCACTTTAGTCTGTTTCATGTCAATTCCGTTAAACCATCAACAAATGTTTTTATTACAACAGAACTATACAGTCTTTATTAATTTGAGAGAATCAGTCATTGTCTGTACTTTCCATAGTGTGTTTCAACAGTGTAAAATACGAGACCGCCGTATTCAGAACCTGCAATGGTTAAAATATATGAAAAATATATTTTTTACATTTTTTCATTATAATTATGTGATGAAACGTTTATGTATACATCATTTTTTAAGTATTACGTTTATATTATGTACGTTTATGCATACATAATGACACTTCAATTTCACTTTTAACGATATAGCTAACAATGTACAGAATTCTGTGAAACACTTATGTATGTATGTACGTAGGAATATAACTACATACCCATATATACAAGGTGACTCATTTAAATCTGCAAATGCAATTTTCTCTTAAACTATACAATTATTGAAAAATATCTCAAATGTCATTTCCTGCGTTTTATGATGACAATAATTTAGTGGACTTAGTTCATCTCTAGGTGTGTAGAAGATAAGAATTGAAGAGTTTTTCTAGAAAAGCTTGTAAACGCCAAGGATCAAAACTTTCAGGGAGAAAAGAGAAGTTACTTAAAGTTACGTTAACACATTTCAGCATCATAAGCATTATTAATGATTACTTCCAAAAGGAAGATTGTCTTTGAAGTGTACGTTACAAAATAATAAAAAATAATATTCTGCAATTTTAACACTTACAGCGTTTTCTAGGAAAACTCTTCAATTGCAACGCCAATTACACTAGTGTATGTTCCCAAAGAGACTTCAAAGAACCCTTGGGCTGTTAAGCAGCAAGGTACTCTGGATCTAGCGATGACAAACACTATATCCTTCCGCATCCTGTTTCCATACTTATCCATGGTGAGATTTTGCCATGGTGTTTCGTATGCTCCTCTCGCCACGTTCTGGCTTGCGTGCATTATACCGTCGCAACTGTAGGTGAACATCAACAGTTGGCCTAAGCAGCCGGCCAAGTGGAACACAAAAATGAAACGTTTCTCACTGTGTGCATCTGCCTGGAAAAAATAATGCTACTGTACTAACATTCGTGTTAGAAGACAACATTACAATAAGATAATCCATATATATACGAACCATAAGCACTTGACATCCATCACAGCAAATTAACAGACTGAGAATAAGAACTTGCCCTAACGCGATCATGCTAAATACTTTTTCCAGCTTCTGGCAGTAAGCAATTAATGACTGGTGTTGTTGAATGTAACTTTTCAATGTAACATAAGATTTTTTTGTAAAAGGTGATTGGCACTTCTTCCGATCATATTCTTCCTCATTCAGATTCTCCATGTTTGCCAGTCTGTGCTGTAGTATACGGAATTGTGTAACCGCGTGGAGGTTCATGATGAACAGGAAATTATCGAAGCAAAAATAACACACACCGATTTGATACAGCGATAACGTCTAGACCAAAGCAACAGATCTCAATTATTTTCGTTAACTGAAATCAACTGTAGGTTTCTGATAATGTTCCTCCAATCTTTGCTAACTTATATGTTAACCTGAATTATTCCTAGCTTTATTGTTGTTTAATAAGATCAAAGATATAGGAATTATATAAAACAGATGAACAGATACCTCTATAATAAAAGTTATCTCGTAGTATGGCGTTAGAGATATTGGAAAATCAATCCACATCTTAAAAGGAAGTATCCTGTCTGATTCGTTTCTTCCAATATTTTCTGGAATCACGTGTTATTTTCTATTGATAAAAATATTTCATATTTGTAATATAATTGATTT